GTCGCAATCCATACTTGTATGTATGGTTATGTGTTCCTGCTAACATCCTTGTCACATCGATTCCTAAACGCGACAAGCTCGAAAGGATAGCAAGAACGCGATGATCGGTCAGTATCAGCATAATTATATCATGGCCTGGACGTGTGTTTCTCTCTGCATATAACCCAGATATGTAGATGTCAAAACTTCACTGACAAACCAACTTGAACTGCAAGAAAAAATCACTTATAAAATGATATTAAATTAACAATCGGTTTTATATTACTTGTATCTGGGCCTAGATGTGTGGCATTCCCTACTTATATCTCTAACACAGTAGGGATATAAGTTATTGGAAAGGACCAAATTACTTTTGTTTAAATACACTAAAATAATGTTTTGAAAACAACTTTATCTACAATACTTGTATTACGAAATGCCTCAGCGCGTTTGACAGACCAGCCCAGCGAAGCTAGGAAAACAAGGAAATCGATCGGTAAGGATCAAATTACAAATTTTCTTTCTTCTCGTCTAGGTATGGACGTGAGTCTCTCCCTGCTTATAACCCTGACACACCAGGGATATAAGCCATTAGAAAGGATGAAATTATTAATGCTTAGATACACTAAAATAACGTTTTATTGGCAATCAGCTTTATTATGTTCTAGTTGTATCGAGATCTGGATGTACGACCGCCTGCTTATCACCCAACACACCGATGAAGATTACGAAATGCCTCAACGCGTTTGACAGACCAACCCAGCGAAGCTAGGAAAACAAGGAGAACGATCGGTAAGGATCAAATTCCAAATTTTTTTTCTTCTCTAAAATAATTTCGTACTAGCAATCATCTGTACATACACTACTTGTATCTGGGCCTAGATCTGTGTCTCTCCCTGCTTATATCCTTGACATACCATTGAAGATAAGATGACAAGGTGATCGATGATCAGATTTCATATTTTATTTCTACTTAAAAAATATTATACTAGCAATTATACACCACACACACACACACACACACACACACACACACACACACATATATATATATATATATATATATATATATACATACACACCCGTTACATACATTCTCAACTCTTGCACACACACACACACACACACACACACNATTTTCAGAGAAATGTTTAGATTAAAAGATATCACGATTTTCCGACGCCAGGACGTGATATCTTTCAAAATCGATAAAAAGCGAAATTACTCTGAAATGGTTGAGAATCGGACCATGGACAATATGAACTTTTTTGTTCATTTTAGGGTGAAGAATCTACTGGAGAAGTTTGTAGCACGAGTAGCAATTCACCCTGTATATATAACAAAACAAGGATATAAGTTATTGGAAAAGATCAAATTACTTATGCTTAGTTACTCTAACATAATGTGATATTAGCAACCAGCTTTATATATATAGAAATTATACTGGGTCGGTATGTGTGCCTCGCCCTGCTTATAACCCTGACACACCACATAAGAGGGCGAAATACAGAAACGCGTCTTGCAGACCAAAACATCTATGATACAGAGATCAAAATGATCGGAAACGATCAAATAAATAAAAACCGAAGCTGTTGAACTTGTAATTTAATGCTTAACTAACCTGGGGTCTGGATGTGTGTCAATTCCTACTTATACTCAGACACACCAAGGATATAAATTTTTGGAAAAGTTCAAATTTATGCTTAGTTTCTCTAACATAATGTTGTATTAGCAATCAACTTTATATTTAGTAGTCGTACTGGGTCAGGATGTGCGCCTCTCCCTGCTTATAACCCTGACACACCACTTGAAAAGGCGAAATATAAAAACGCGTCTGGTAGACCAAAATATCAATGATAGAATAATCAAATAAATAAAAACCGAAGCTATTGGACTTGTGATTTGACGCTTAACTTATTTGGGGGCCTGGATGAGTGTCTCCCTGCTTATATCCCTGACGCAGAACTAAACATGGTTTTGCACACTAAAACTGTGATGGTAGGCAGACCAAGATAAACGGTAATGTTTAAATTACTTATGTCTCTGTAAAATAATTTTATACTGGTAATCAGCTTTATACTTCGATAAAAATGGGATTTTTTTTTCGTTTTTTCGCTTAATTATATTTTTAGTTTTATTCTGATATAAAATTTATTACTATCGTAGGATTTATTTATTGTTTCTATGTAGTAACTCGGAGCCGGCGTAATTATCGAATAAAGAAGACTTTTTAAGGGATCAGAGGGTATGTCCTCATTTGATAGGAAACTAAGGACATTCCAATTACTTTGTATCTGTTTTCCGCATCGGCCATGTTCCTTTTACATTCTAAAACGGAAAACACAATACACAGGTAAGAGAGAGAGGCCTCACTCATAGACGGCCCAGTTTACAAAGGACAGGCAATAAAATTTATTGGGAAAATTGAACGGACAAGTTTTATTGACCCGGGATCATAGAGTTAACCGGTGGATTACTGCCTACCTGGACTTCTTGAACCGAGTTCCGTTCCTAGCCACCGATTGTAATGACTGCGGAGGATTAATTTTGCCCACGATGTTTTGAAAATAAAATATAAAAACAATTTCGACAATCAATAGGTTAATAACTTATTTTCTTCGTCATACGACCTTTAAGTTAAAAGAGTAGTCGACAGGAACGTTTTGAACTTTTGGATCGCGCGTTTTTAAGTTAAAACCTTTGAATAAAAAACAGGGCGGAACGAGTGTGGTTATTATTATTTACACTAGATTATTCGGAGATCGTGAGATGCGGTCTGGTGTGACGTAGGTTTTTGAAAAACATTTGCTTTATCGTGCCAACGTTTCGATCTTTATCGAGATCATCTTCAGGACCTGGGATTTATAAACAAACATTGTTTGAATTTTACATATACATGCAGTATGTGGAAAAAAATTATGAATTTACACAATGCTAAAAAATTTTAGATTAAAAAAATATGTACGATGCTAGAAAATTTTAGATTAAAAAAGAAAGGGATGAATTTATACAATGGTAAAATTTTTGGATTAAAAAAGAAAGAATGATTTTATAAATACTAGAAAATTTTACATTAAAAAAGAAAGGGATGAATTTATACAATGCTAGAAAATTTTATATTGAAAAAAGAAAGAATAAATTCATTCTTTTCTTTTTTAATCTAAAATTTTCTAGCATTGTATAAATTCATCCTTTATCTCTCTCCCTCTCTCTCTCTCTCTCTCTCTCTCTCTCTCTCTCTCTCACACACACACACACACACACACACACACACACACACACACACAGTATTTGTCCAATCTATATATCTATTCTCTCTCTTACTCCTCGTCACATTTTCATTTTATTCCTCTCCTTTCTTGCCCCACTCTCTCACTCTCTCTCTATCTCTCTTCCCTCTCTCTCTTTCACGTCTCACATTTCTATTCATAATTAACCTACGTTTTAAACTAATATAACCAACCAGTATTAAATAGTGGTAATAAAAAATAATGGAGAGAAAAAGAAAAAGACAGAGAGAGAGATATCTATATATAAAGTAAATGTTTTATCATGTTTTGTAGAAAAAAAGTGTGAACTTACTTATGTAAAATCACATCTTCGCAATAGTACTTTCTGGAAGTGAAAGTTTCCGGCAAAAAAGATATTACAAAAAGAAAAGAAAATACTTGTAGCGGTGGAACTGTCGATGTCATGAATGAGAACTGTCATGTATCAATGTTGACGTTATATAACATTAACGGATAAACTTTATTGTTATTTCTCTGTACAAACAACAAAATTTTCTATGAAAATAGATCAAAGAATCTATTTAATTATAAATTAAGTTTGAGCGCAATTTATGGATTTGTTGTGAGTTTTTATCTCTACCCTTCTATTTTTTCTCTTTCTCTCTCTCTCTCCCTCTCTCTCTCTCTCTCTCTCTCTCTCTCTCTCTCTNTCTCTATCCCTCATACTTACTCACTCGAACTCATGTTCTTTTCTTCCTCTTCGATTTGACACATTCTCGGTATGCACATTTTTTGCTAATATTAGGAATTTAATCAGATTTAAAACCAAAAAAAATACTGTATTAAAAGTGTACTCAAAAGGTAAAAAATAATATTTAAATTAAACTAAGGTTGAGTACAATTTATGGATTTGTTGTGAGTTTTTATCTCTACCCTTCTTTTTTTTCTCTTTCTCTCTCCTTCTTTATCACTCACACTTACTCACTCGAACTCATATGCTTTTCTTCCTCTTCGATTTGACACATTCTCGGTATGCACGCTTTTTGCTAATATTAGGAATTTAATCAGATTTTTTCTTTTTATATACTGTTTTAAAAGTGTATTCAAAAGATCAAAAATACTATTTAAATTAAGGTTGAGCACAATGTATGTGTTTTGAGATTTTCTCTCCCCTTCATTATTTTATCTTTCTCTCTCTCCCCTCTCCCTCCCTCTCTCTCTCTCCCTCACTCCCNCTCTCTCTCTCTCTCTCTCTCTCTCTCTCTCTCTCTCTCTCTCTCTCTCTCTCTCTCTCTCTATCCCTTATACTTACTCATTCTAATTCATATTCTTTTCTTCCTCTTTGATTTGACACTCTCCCGGCATGCACTTTTTATGCTACTATTAGGAATTTAATAATATTTTTGTGAGGTGAGGGATGGTGCTTTTGGTGTCTGGCAGGGTCTTTCAATCAAATTATTGTTAATTAACAGCAGAAAAGCTGAATTAGTCACATTTTCACACCATCCACTAGTGGATTGAAGGGAATATTTTAAAACAATTATTTTAGATCAAATAAACGTTGGATTGTGTATGATTTAGCGGTTAGATAGCGTGTAACCGAACACTTTTACAACTACTGTCGTGTCCCTGGTTGCTGTTAAACACCAACAGGAATTATAATTAATGCGGGCTTCTTCTTTATGCCCCTACGGTTGTCGACAGCCGAGGGTGAGGCCGGGGGAACGCGATTGTAAACAGATCGGAACCCCGCGAGCCCAGAGAGGGGAGAAGCCGTCTCCCTTTCATTCAGGCCAGCGGAGCGGTCTTCAGTTCGTTCCCATGTGTTCGAGTGCGCGGAAGCCGATGGTTGTGCCGTCCACCCACGTGACTCCCTGCCGGGTCGTGTCTGCGGAGGCGAAGACGAAACACGAACATGAGCCGGATAGATGCCGAATCGCAGGTGGGTGAATTACATTTATGGAAGGAGAGCTGAAAAAAGCTCACTTTAGCAAATATCGTGTGATAAATTGCTTAAAATCGGTAATCTATCCTCTAGGAACATTTTGGGATATCATAATTCAAAATCCCATCAGCAGTAGAATTATTGTGAAAACTGGAACTTGTTAATGACAAGAACAAAAACATACCCACTTTGGTAAATATCGTGTGACAGACTGTCTAAAATCGGCTATCTATCATTCAGGAACATTTTTTGATATCATGACTCAAAATCCCATCAGCAGTAGAATTATTGTGAAAACTGCAACTTGTTAATCACAAGAACAAAAACATACCCACTTTGGCAATTATCGTGTGATAGATTGTTCAAAATCGGTTATCTATCATCTAGGATCATTTTGTGATATCATGATGCAAAATCCCATCAGCAGTGGAATTATTGTGACAACTATATCTATTTAATCGTAAGAACAAAAACATACCCACTTTGGCAAATATCGTGTGATAAATTGTTCAAAATCGGTTATCTATCATCTAGGATCATTTTGTGATTTCATGATTCAAAATCCCATCAGCAGTAGAATTATTGTGAAAACTATATTTTGTTAATCACAAGAACAAAAACATACACACTTTGGTAAATATCGTGTGACACACTGTCTAAAATCGGCTATCTATCATTCAGGATCATTTTGTGATATCATGATTCAAAATCCCATCAGCAGTTGAATTGTTCTGAAAAATGTATCTTATTAAGCTATTAATAAATAATTATCAAGCTTATTTGACTTGGAAGTATGTTAAACAAAAAACTTCTAATTAATAGGACATCTCCAAAAAACAACAACCTGTTTTTTTCAATCCACAACGTTCGGATTTATTTTAATCCTTCTTCAGGTGAATTAACGCCTATATCCAGAACAAAGATTTCTTATATTTTTAGGCCAACATGGTTATCATTGTTTCTTTACTACTTACAGTGGTTAAAACAACAACAACATACAACAAAAACATATAATAATAGGTCAAACACATCCTGTATGTTTCTGCTCGTCTGCTTTATTAATGCTGCGCGTCTGCTTATTGAAGTACTCAGCTTTTTCTTATCAATTTGTTGTTTATTATAAATACCTTTTAAACCACGCTGTGACAGACATTTAAAACAAGACAAAACAACAAGAAAAGCCCTTGAAATTTTTTTAAATTTGTGTTCGATAAAAAACAAGGCTGATTATTTTAACAACCCCACATTAAAAAATATTTGTGTTACATTTGTAAACACGATAGTTATAAAGAAAAAAAAAGAACTAACCTATATAAAGGTCGCGTTAACAATAATATATCGAGATAGTTCCAAAACCTAACTTTTCTAATATACTTTTATGAAATAAAATATAGGTATTTAATCAATTAATAACGATGCTTGTTTTCCAAATTAATTATTAAAATAATGAAGTGGTTTGTTCAAGCTAAAAAATAATAATTTAGCAATTATCTCATGTGTAAGATTAATATTTCATAAAATTATCACACCAGACCGCATCTCACGAATTGCTAATAATCATAGCTCAGAAACTTAAATTTTCATTAGACATTTGTATGTAAGAAAGTATTAAATATGGAATAAACTCGTTGGTTACCGAAAACAAATTACAGATATAATATATATTTAACAATAAATAAATCAATTAACAATAAACCATGATAGCTGAAAAACCTAACTTTTCTGACCACTTTTATGTAAGAATGATTTAATTCTGCAATTAATTGAACAAAAATACACCGCAATAACTCAAACACCTAACTTTTATTAGGTTTCGTGGTCCACATGACCAAATAAATTCTTTTCAATTAATTAAGGCTTTGGTTGAGATAAAAATGTCAGTGACACGAGCGGGATTCGAACCTACGATCTTCGGCTAAATAGGCCGCTGCTCTACCACTTGAGCTATCGTGACTTTGATCCGCTCGAACATCAACTTCCCATCTCAACCTCAACCAAATCGATTTAAAAGCAAAATGAAGTATACTTCACAAAGCTCTCCGTGGCCATTTCATTTATCGCCGAGAATCATATAGATTGCACACATTTGAAAAATGGCAAAACGGAGAGAAAATTCAAAAAGGTGTGGTTGAGATGGGAGTGGATCGAAGTCACGATAGCTCAAGTGGTACAGCAGCGGCGTATCTAGCCGAAGATCGTGGGTTCGAATCCCGCTCGTCACACTGACTTTTTTATCTCAACCAAAGCCTTAATTAATTCCAAAATCTAACTCTTCGTATACACATTTATGTAAAAAAAATATGGATATTCAATAAATGTGAATATACGACTGTAAAGTTAAAATGATGGAACAAACGTTCATACAAAGGAACGATTGATTTATCTGTCATATTAATTTTTATGACTCAAAAATTGGTAATAAATATTTATTGGATAAAAATATCAAGTTAAAAAAATTTGGCATACCGGGTTTTTATATATTCTTACAGCAAAATAATATTCATAAAACACTTGAACTTTTAACTTTTTATCTTTTTGAAATATTGTTCCAACTTAGACGAGACAAATTTATTTGTTGGAAATCGAGGTTGGTGTACCACAAGGCAGCATTCTAGGGCCGGTACCATCCGACAATTCAGAAAAATATTTAGCCAAAATTTGAAACAATGAACCAAAAATAAAAGTAAGAAGATTTTCTAGTTTAAAATATTACCGTTCTTCTATATATGTATATATATTTTTTCATTATTGAAACGTTGAAAATTATTGTAACTTTTTACATAAAATTTTAATCAAGTTATTTTCCTTTTGACACTTTCTTAATGCTAAACATGAATATTTTGCACTGACATAAACTTGGATTTGGTCTAACTGATTCTATGATTTTCTAATTGTGTTATTTAGTTAATATAAATTTACTTAAATTTAATTGCTAAAATTAACACATTTAAAAGTTAGAAAACTAGGTTCATATTACGTATATCGGTCGTAATATTATAGTCGTATATAAAAAATCAGTGATAAGGAAAATTTGAAAGAAAGAAATCTTTTCAATTCTTTCGTCAAGCTTCCAAATGCAGTCTATAATTGTTTTCTAAATTCGTTAACAAGAGAATTTTTTAAACTTGTTTTTGACTAGCAGTAATTATATTCAATGTTAAATATAATAATTTATCTTGGTATTGTTCTTTGTAACAATTTACAATAAACAATGTCAGCTCCATTGTTTGGTATTTTCATTTGAACAATTTGTTCCAAAATAAAGGTTTTTAATGAAGGATGAAAGCTTGAAAAGGAAAATTGGTTGTTTACTTAAAGGCGTCAACCCTAATAAAAATCAATACTTACATTCATTGCATTCCTATTCGCTCTCTATAAAGACTCATTACCGACAGAAAACTATAAGTTGTACTGTAATCGAATAAAATACGTAATTAAATTATTTTATTATTGAAAAATTACTGACACGTATGATTAATTTAATGAATATTCAATCTCTGGTTTGTTAAATTCAATTTATAAATTATAATTCGGTTGTTCGCATATGAGCGAAATGACATAGTTTTTGAGTTTTATTTTATGAACTCAAGTGTCATGTTGAACTAAGAAAGGATCCAACTTCTCCCACGCCTTCACAACAATTCGGTTTCGTCTAAAAGGTCAAATGGAAATTTATGGGGTAACGGTAGACATTGTTCTCTCTTAACGAGATAATTGAATTGTAAAAGTGAGATCGGAAAGAACGTCCTCCTCAAAAATAATAAATATTAATTATATAATTTCAATCCTTTGTTTGGATGGTTTTAGAACAAAGAGCATGTGTTATTGCTTCATGCTTTCGTTTTGGTTATATATTTTTTTTGAAAACAAATAACCTGGCAAAAAACAAAAATGTTTCCTACTGGATGTTATATTTTATACTTTTAGAACAAAAAACATATTTTTAACTTAATGTTATAATAACAAGTAATATATTGAGAATAAGTTTAAATTTAACAAAAAAAATTAAATAAATTCGAATTAAATTGACTGAGATCAGCACTCTTGGTTTCAATATTCAAAAAACGTTAATTTAATTATGTTCGTATAGTAGTTTTTCACAGTTTGTATTAATGTATACAAAGTAATCATAGAAAAAATATATTGCTTATAGGGAGCGAGTAGGATTGCTACCCAAAATGAGAATTGTTCTTGAGCATAGATATTTAGGTCCCCTGTTTCGATTTTTCAGGTAACAGCTGCTTTATTAAGCATAGTATTGATGAATAGCTCGTTTTCAGTTCTTTTTTTATGTATATTAAAGTTGAATGTATTTATTAGCTAGAATGTGTGAGAGGGCCGATGACGGAATATTACGCCACTTGTCCACTTTCGACAGTTAAGATCGATCTTTTGAAATAGGTAGTTCCTACTCACAGTAAGTTGTTTTTAAAAATCCGGATTTCGAGCCTACAGCTCATCATCAGGTTGAAGGAGCTCTACAACCTGATGATGGAACTGTAGGCTCGAAATCCGGATCGTTAAAAACAACTTACTGTGAGTAGTAACTATCTATTTTAAAAAGATTGAACAACACACTAACTCCACCATTTATTTTTTCTACCAGTTAAGCTCGAAGTCTGACTTATATAAACGAATCAATAATAAGTACTTACAACTACTTTGAGAACAAAAATTTTTGTTTACTTTCCTTTAATAATTTGAAACTAATCTATTTCTCAAGTCTGAAGTTACACATAGACACGCAGACACAAACACACACAAATTGTACGAGAATTAGACGTGGAATTATGGAATTAGATTGCTGAAAACGGAAATGTTCCATGATTATCGGATAAATGTGTTATCTGCTCGATTCTATCAATACTCCACTCTTATTTGGTCTGTTTACTAGGGACATTTATTAATTTTATTTGTTGTTTGTTTCTCTAAGAATAAAAAAAATTTACAGTACAAAATTTACTTTAGAAAGCGTTTCCAGTTTAGGATAAACAGAC